ATTTTGATTGGTTGAAAAATAATTTCCATAGTATTAATTGCAAATTATTTTCCAATTTATCATTCCAGAATCTTGTGCAATTTTATTTAAAAATTCACAATTTATTTTACATCGCTCATCATACACCACTCGTCAAATACGACTCATCATACATCATTCCCTCCCCACCTCCATATATGTCTACAAATCCATATGGCACCTACACATCACACTATCTCTCTTGTATATTCACCCTTTCTTTATCTCTTTCTACAGATCTTTTCGACTTTAGTACGCAGAGCAATTTGTAAGCTGGAAGCTGAGAACTGGCGTTTTTCAGTACAAGTCTAGTACGCGGAGCAATCTGTAGAGCTGGAAGCTGAGAACTGGCGTCTTTGTAGCACAACTTTAGTACGCAGAGTATCTGGTGAGCTGGACGATGAGAACTGGCGTCTTTGTAGTACAACTACAAATCGCGGAGATATCTGTAGAGCTGGACGCTAGGAACTGGCGACTTTCCAGCATCTTTGGTACTCAGAGCAATCTGTAGAGCTGGAAACTGAGAACTGGTGACTTTCTAGTACAACATGCTGATGTATCCCCTGAGAGGCGACCTTTCATACATATAATTTCATATACGCACTTTGTAATATTCAAACATATACTCTTAAAATGTTCAAAAAGATTCGTAGGAAAACTAGAGGACGAATGGCCTGAAATTTTCATGACTTGAGAAGTATGAGTGTGAATTATTTAAAACAGCAGTTGAATGTCCTTTCCTACAAAACTGCCAGTATGACTCAGCAGCGAAAGAACTGAACGTGCACGCACAGAGATGACCCAGCAGCGACAGATGACTTAGTCGCAAAAGATGACTCAGTCGCGAGAGATGACTCAGCCGCGAGAGATGGCTATAGCCAGAGCTGACTCAGCCCCAAATGAATGAGCAGCGAGAGATGACTCCTCCACGTACTGCACTGTTCGCCAGTACAACTTTTGTTGTTCTACGAAGTTGCCAGTGCTCAGCATCTGGCTGCATAGATTGCTTTGCGTGCTGAAGTTGCACCACCAAGACGCCAGTTCTCATCCTCCTACTTGCCAGAGACTCCCCGTGCCAAAGTTGCACTACAAAGTTGCCAGTTCTGAGCTTCCAGCTCCACAGATTTGCTCCGCCCACTAAAGTTGTAGAAGTCGCCAGTTCTCACCATCCAGCTCCACAGACACCCCGGGTACTAAAGCTGCACTACAAAGTCGCCAGTTTTCACCATCCATCTCCACAGACTATCCGCATTGTAAAGTTGCACTACAAAGTCACCAGTTCTGCTCGTCCAGCGCAGATGATCCTCTGTTTCCAGCTGCACAGATTGCTCCGCGTACTGCAGTTGTATTACAAACAAAGTCGCCGATTCTTTTCGTCCAGCTTGCCAGATAATCCGCGTACTAGAGTTGTACTGCAGTGTCGCGCCTGTTCTCAGCTCCCAGCTGTACAGATTGCTCCGCGCCACGTGGGTGTATGCTCAGCTCCTGTCCTCAGTGCACAAGATCCTTCCGGAGTTTTGTGCCTTGTCGCCCAGGATCGTTCTCGATCAATACTCCCCGTACCAAAATTTTTCTACAAAGTGGCCAATTCTCAGCTTCCAGCTTGCCACACACTCCGCGTGCTAAAGTTGCACTACAAAGAAGCCAGTTCTCAGCCTCAAGCTCCCCAGACTCTGTGCCTGCCACGAAATCTGCACATGGAGGTTCACAAAGTGCTCTGCCTCCGAAGAAATCCACACATGGAGATGCACAAAGTGCTGTTCCTGCCACGAAGTGCTGCACCTGCCACGAACGACATCTGCACATGGAGCTTCACAAAATCGCTGCACCTACGACGACGTCTGCACATGGAGGTTCACAAAGAGTGCTGCACCTGCCACGAAATCTGCACGTGGAGGTTCACAAAGTGCTGCACCTGCCACGACATCTGCACAAAGAGGTTTACAAAGTGCTGCACCTGCAACGACATCTGCGCATGGAGGTTCACAAAGCACTGCACCTGCCACGAAATCTGCACGTAGGGGTTCACAAAGTGCTGCACCTGCCACGAAATCTGAACCTGGAGCTGGAGTTTCCTGGAGCGTGAGCTGTTGAAACCAGAGCTGGTGTATGAGTGGTGTGTGATCAGCCGTGTATGTCTGATGAGTAGTGTATGATGAGTGGTGTATAATGAGTGGTGTGTGATGAGTGGTGTATGACTAGTGGTGTATGATGAGTGGTTCATTATGAGTGGTTCATTATGAGTGGTGTATGATAAGTGGTGTATGATGAGTTGTGTTTGATGAGTGGTGTCTGATGAGTGGTGTATGATAGTGTTGTGTGATGAGTGGTGCATAGTGAGTGGTGTATGATGAGTGGTGTATGATGAGTGGTGTATGATGAGTGGTGTTTGATAAGTGGTGTATGATGAGTAATGTATTATGAGTACTGTATGGTGAGTGGTGCATGATGATGATAAGTGGTGTGTGATGAGTGGTGGTTGAACAGCTGTTGAATGTCCGTAACACGGAAGTTTTGCACACCAAACTTCCTTTGATAAGTCCCTGTCTGTGTGTGTGTCCATGTCTGCTGCTGGTGAAGGTCTTCATTGTAGATATAAGGAACGAACAATATTTTTGGGAAGCTTATGGGTTGGGTTGAAATTCTTCCAAAAAACATTCTCCATTGCTGTTGATTTGCTTTATGTTCCTGGCTACGATCTGGTGCTAGCTGGCCCAAGATCTATGGAGATTTGTGCAATCTCACTTTGAGTACCAAAATGCACAAATGCATGGCAGCCACATCGCTCTCCAGGTAACATTTTCTTCACTTGAGATTAAGTTCACCAATCATTACACTGGTCATTTTTTCATCGACTGTCCCAAAAAAGCAAAAACGTGCCCAAGTAGATCCAGGTGACACGCAGCAGCCATTGCCTAAATCTTCGCGTGCTCTCTCTGCTCGCGACTAGCCTATGTATACGGAAAAGATTCCTCGAAAATATATCTAGCAAAGTCCCAAGGGCAATTGCCCTGGATTTGGCCAATGAGTTTCCACCGCATTCCAATGCATAAGATTGAGTTTTTACAGATCAACGTTTCTGCCAAATTCAAAGATGGATCCTGTCTTGAGGAGCGCGAATTCTGTGCTGAAACTCACGTGGGCAGGTCGCAACGACCCCTCTTTTGGACTCTTGACCACGCACGATCTCCGCAGAGGGTTGCGCGTGGACAGGACAGATCGCATTCTCGCCTGCACGTCGCGCACTCGACACGCACGATCGGCAGAGGGTTACATTTTCAGTTGACGCTATTCGTCCCACCCTCCGCCGAATTTACCAAATGGGGAAATATTTTCATTAGGACATCTCCCGTGCAAATTATCATTAGGACATCTCCCGTGCATGTTTTCCATACTCACATTTGCATACTCATTAGGACATCTCCCGTGCAAGTTTTACTTTTACACTTGGATTCTTTTGCACTTGGATACTTACCGTTGGATGCTTTCACTCTTCCACTTACACTGGGGTACGTATAGAAGTGTCAGTGTTCAAGTGTAAGTGTGAAAGCGTAAGTGTCCAATTGTACGTGTAGAAATGTCAGTGTTCAAGTGCAAGTGTGGAAGTGTCAGTGTGTAAGTGTAAGTGTAGAAGTGTCAGTGTTCAAGAAATTTTCCGGAAGAACCCTTCGCAATACTTTCGGGAACAATCTTACCCCATGGTTCAGATCATTGGTAACCATTAAATCAGAGCATCATAGGATTTAAATTATCCTAAACCATAAGAAGCTCACGAAGACGTTTGCTGAGGAGAGAATTGATGTGCTTCACAAAACAAATGCTAGGTATATATTCCCTCGGGAAACAGCTTTCGTAATTAAAATTTCATATGCACTCTTTCTAAGTGTTCAAGAGGGTTTCAATTATTCTAAAATCATGAGAGGCTCACGAAGACAAGGGGGGGGGAAGTCTGTGTTGAAAAAAAAAAAAAAAAAATAAATTCAACGAAGCGGGGGGGGGGTAGGTCTGTATTGAAAATCAATTCGAAGGGGGGTTCTAAATTAAGCGATCAATTATTCGATCCGGACGTACCAACACTTGATTCGCAAAACAAACTCAAGATATCCCCTAAAGGGCAGAAGAAAAAGAAGAAAAACGGAAAAACGAAAGAGAAGAAAAAGAGAAAAAGAAAAAAAAAGAAATAAAAGGGAGATAAAAAAAAAATAAAAAAAAAG